TCCTTTTTCCAAATTTTAATTTTCAGAAATTCTGAGGATCCTGCACAAACGTGAAAAGTTAATTAAGAAGTCATGACCATTATGAGATAAAGTGCTTCATCTAAATGTGTAGACAAAATATTGTGATACATATTTGAACATAAAATATATAAAATCAAGTAATCCATGAATGATATTAGCCAAGAAATTCATAAAATAAAAACTATCATTTACTCGTCATGAAAATGAATTGTAGCTATATCTAATAGTGTTGGCTTAAAGAAAATACTACCAATGAGATACAGCTCATGAAACAGTTTAGCGGGGGAGGCTCTGTCTCATGCAGTAAATAAAAAACTAGCAAGTAAAACAACATAAAAAATGCAGCCATTATCACGTGGATAAGCAGAACAAAACCCAGCAATTGCTCAAATGAAATTAAATGGTGCAGTTCATAGATTCCGAGTGGTAGAGGAACTACAAATAACTCAGTATATTCCCCTCGAACCCAATGACAAGAGCCTACAATAACAGAGAAGAAAGATTTAAAGAAGAATTACTCATAGAAGAGTATGGAACTCATTCCAAGAGGGTTAGAGTTCAAATGAGTTGGAGAACTCAGAGATACTATACAAAGCAAAAACAGGATTTAGAAAAGGCAGTCAAAGCTCCCAAAGCTGGAACAAAAACTTAAAGAAACCGTGCTGACTAGACCCCCATCCCCACTGAAAATGTGCTATCCAGTCTGCATCCTAGTGACAGCTTAGGCTGGGAAATGTCCCAGGTCAGAGTGTGAGGCTGAACTATGAGAAGGACTCCCTGATGCCATTGGCACGAACCAAGAACTTGCTGCAGAGAACAAGAAATGGTATCTTACACTGTTAATTCGATGGGCACATCAAACACAAAGGAGACTATCACCATGATACAAGCCTAAATTTATGTTGGCATTAATTAGGGCAGTGACTGAGGAATCAAAAGCCAGGGGTGAAAGGATTTGGTGGTTTGAGTGGAGAGAGATAGAGAGCAACAACAACTTAGAAGACAGGGACACCAAAGATAACTAAGGGGTAATCTATCCCGGGGTTCAAACGGGTTCTTCCGCTGTTGATATGTTCAGGAGAAGAAGCATCTTCAGTCAGTTCCTCATCCTTGAGATGAGAAAGGCAGAACCAGTGAACGGTCCTTACAAATAATAATGAAGGCGGAACTAAAGCTCCGAGTTGTCTTTACGGTAAAGCGGAAAGATCTTTAACGTTGACCCATTCCCACAGTACAGAGCTCCGCTGTCTGCATCATCCGAGAGTGAGGAGCCGCCGGCGTGACATCTGTTCATTCAGATCTCACAAGTGACATCGCCAAAATTGTGGGGTGAGTTCTATTCAGTTCCAAAATAGAAACTGAAATGAGGATTTCCTGGTGTTAGAAACATATTCAGCGTATGATTCGTTTATTTGCATAGCATATTTAATATATAATTCATGTATGTGATAAATAAAATTAGCATGCATCATACATGAAAATAACATATATAATCTTGACTGTTAGATTAGCTATATTGAAAGGGGAAACAAATCAGATTAATTTTACTGATGTTATTTGTTCCCACATATTTAAACCTTTTTATTCCAATATGTAGCCAGCAAGAATGATTTCCATACTAATACATATTTTCCTATGTCTTTGAAAGCTTGGCAATACTTTGTCCTTTGGAAAAGTTCTGTTTCTAGTCAGCCACATGTTAAATGCTCTGTAGTTATATGTGGGTATCCAATTTAACAGTGAACTTTTTGAAATCTTTCTAAAATTTCTATTAACAAAAACAGGAAAAAAAGGCAGGAGAATTAACACAATATGAAAATTGAAGTGGAAATTAGACAGAGATAAATGTGATTAGCAAAAGTAGGACTTTATACCTGTGGAGAAAATTAACTGACTCATTTTGAAAAGTACACCTCCACCAGGCATTCTTTATAAAAAGATAAACCTATTTTCTTTCATCCAATTAATATCAATTATATAAATACCGAGATGGTAGCAGTTTCATGCTTCCGTGTGAAGGCAAAACAAAGCAGCAAACTACACGATATGTTAGAAAACGACTCAAGTCATTAGCAGGAACAGGAGGAGAGTAAGGGTCAAATCCACCAGACACAGCGGAAGAGAGAGCCCCACACCTATGAAGAGATGCGTTATGAATCACGGGTCTGGCACTGCTGCCAAGGCAGGCTGGAACTAGAGATTATGGAGCCTGACGTAGGAGGATTCTAAATGCAGTCTGGGATACACAGCCATAGCCTGTCTAAAATATCAAAACTCTTGAATGTATAAAAGAAAATCACTTTAGTAATGATACATAGAACTCAGAACAAGCCACAGATCAAACTCTGCCTGCTACAGAACGTGTAGAAGGCAACATAAGAGTAAATCTTTGTGCTTTCATGTCAGAAGATGGCTTCTTCAACCACATCTAAAGCATAAGCAACCAAGGGAAATAAAGGTGGATGGCATTCAGTAAGATCCAAAGTGTCTGACAGTCAAAGTACACTATCAAGGAAATTATAAATAATAAATAAAATTATGAATAGTAAATAAGAGGAAATAAAGGTGGATGGCATTCAGTAAGACTGAAAGTGTCTGATAGTCAAGTACACTATCAAAGAAATTATAAAAATCACAGGATGGAGTAACATTTTAATTGGAATCATATGTACTTATTAACTCTCAATAACAAAAGGACAGTTTTAAAATACTAAATATGTAAATAGATATTTTCTAAGGAAATATAAGCAAATGGAAAAAAAATGTTCATGATCATTAGCCCAGGAAAAAGTAGAAACCAGTTGAAGAATCGTAGCGCTTCCCAGCTGTTATCAGGACTGTCACAGAAAATGAAAAACAAGCTCCGACGGCAAAGCTCCCACTGCAAACAAGTGGACCTACACTGGACCCCCAGGACTCACGTGCGTGTTTTCATGAGGAAACACCGATGCATTTCAAGATGAAATCACGTGCACTAAGCTCTCATCTCTGAACTAGGAAAACACTCGGCACTTGTCATTCACCGTAGTGATGTAAAGACCTGATTCGGATCAGTTCGTGTTGATGGGAATGGGGAGATCGGGGTGGAAGGAGACTATGAGAACTGTAGGAGCAGCTGAATAAGGTGCCGGGGGTAGGCATCTTGGGTATGTAGAAAGGGGTCTTGGCACGCTCAGCACAGGAGTCAGGGCTGCCCAGGTTCCCATCAGAGGTAGTCTGCCAGGATCCTCTGCCAGGATCGTTTCATGCTATAACCACCCTAAATGCCCGTGGTACAGGCGGATGGAAAAGGTTAATAGATTCGAGGTGCTCACAACTACACTTCCTGCATTTAAGTCGGCCATAGTTAAAATGAAAATCCATTTCATCAAAAAGATGCAGGAATATGGCATGGTCTAAACATTTGCTCCAGGAAGTTACTGTGCTAGGTATACGAATACAAACACGTAAAAACGTAGAGTCTTAGCTCGACGCAAAAGCCGCATTTCTGGTTCCTTAATATTTGTCTACATTCTGTGACTCCCTCCCCCATCCCGCCCTGCGTTCTTCTCTTTAGATTGGGTGTGGAGAAGTTAATAATAAAGGGAAATAATCTCCAAGTCCTCTTGTACCTCTGAGTTCTTCACTGTGAGTGGCTACAATTACAGACTTGAATAATTTGATCGTTAGCTGTGTACCTATTTTTACCCATACACAATTATTTAGAACTATATGTTTCAATTATTGAAAAAATACACAAAATCTAAGAGCCACTATGCTATTAATATCTATATGAATCAGGTACTAGGTTTAAAAATACGTTGAACTTGAATCCCCTTTTTAATACTTTTCGGCAAACACTAAGTATGATGAATATAAAAATTCTTACAGACGACTGCTCATTTCTGTGAAAAGCAGGAAGCTCTGCTCCAGCCTCCACCTCCACCAATGCCAGCAGGATGATATCTCGTGTAATATGCTGCCGTACGGTTCTGACCTCCAGAAACATTAACTTTCATGACAGTACTATAGAGTCATATATAGAGGGCAATGTAAATGAACCAGAGGACATTTTAAAAAAATCATATTTAACCCCTTTAATTCAGCACACAGTAGCACATTCTGAAATTCTGACAGTAAGTTCTGCTGCCAACAAACCAGAAGGGGAATAAGCTGGACAGTCCGGGGCTGGGTCGCATCACCTCACACTACCTCAGCGCACAGGAAAGCTGGCTTTATCTGGCTCGCTGCTCTTCACACAGCATTGCAATAACTGCCACCAAACATGGGGGGGGGTGGATCATGCCATCCCTCTTCTCCCTGAGCATAGTCACAGTCACTGTTATCTGCGGTTTGGAATCTCACCGTAACAGACAGCATTAAGGTACTTGCAAAAAGATTCATTTTAACGTTTATTGAGAGCTTGTTATATTCAAGGGAGCATATTTAGCTTATTTTTAAATTTTTAATTACATTTATGTGTGTGTGTGCGCGCGTGTGCCAGAGCCGATGTGTTGTCAGAGGACAGTCTGAGGACTCAGTTCTCTCCTCCCACCGTGTGGGACCTGGGAATCAAACTCACGTTGTCAGGCTTGGTAGCAGACGCCTGTAGCTAACGCGGAGCTCTTGACAGCCCAAGTTAAAAGTTTAAAATAATTTTTAAGTTGAATAGCGCTAGGGACTATTTATATTTCTTTTATATTTATAGGATGACATTTTAATTTAAATACCACATCCTTTAAAAGGCCACACTAGAAAATGGAGCATGCAACTGATTTTACATCTGTCTCCTGGTTGGTAATGGCTGATACAAATAGTTAAATATTGTTATTGTTTTATGTTATTTTAAATGGTATTAGAAGCAACTTTTCAAAATACCTTCATTTTCTTGTTTCAACAAAAAATGGAAATTTGTATATGTGATCTAATGTACAGGTTTCAAATTCCATTAAACATATCAACTTTACACAAAGCCAAATGTATGAAAAGGGATCTTTTAAAAAAAACTTTATTTGAGAAAGGAAGAGACTTATAACAGAAGGCAAGAAGGGAAACATACAGACAATATATTTACAACACAAAACAGGATATCACCTCCAAGGGTGTAAATCATAATAAATACAGTAGATCTTAGAAGAGACATTTATCGGTTAATTCTAAGGTTAGTTATGTCCAGCTTTTCGTTTTACTGGTTCCAGGTAGTTTCTTGACTAAATTCAAAGACTATCAAATTCAAACAATTACGTCCACCAAATGTACTGATGAAGTTCTCTCCAATGACATTATAAAAAATAGTTTTTTTTGTTTTTGATCACATATCTTTGAAGAAATATTATACAAAAGTCTGCTCAGCCACGTGTTCCTCCCCAAATAAAATGTGTTTTAAAAGATGCACTATCCCTTTTTTATGAGATTGAAAAAGGAATTTGAAGAAAATGAATATTTATGAGATGGAAAAATATACAATTTTATCTTAGGCATGCCATATTTTTAATGCAAAACAACTGACAACAGTCATTTTAATATGAAGGAATATATTAACCCAAACGTATTGGTGATAGGGAGAGTTACCTAGTAGAACTAGCTGTCAAATTATCAGAAGGATTTTCATTATGTGGAAAAACTTTTAACTTTCTAACTCTAGTTATGTTAATTTAATTCAAATGGAGACTTTTTAAAAAAAGGATAATGTATCTTTAGCAGGAACATTTTAAAAGAAATAGTTTTAAATGTCACAGCGAAGTGTAAACAACACGTGCTAATAACATACAGTTGAACCATGTCTACATTTGGCAAAAGTGCTGTCTCCTGAAACAGGATACTACACCTTAAATAGCAGGGATCAAGGAATATAAATATTTTAATAGAAAAAAATCCTCAGGAAGATTCTAGGTCAATTTGGATTATCCATACCAAAGGGGTCTTAATACAGCGTACGTTTGACTAGCTTAACAAAAGTAAACCCGTAAAAGAAGGCCAACATATCAAAAGGGGATATGAAGAAAACGTTCTAGCCAATAGCTTCCGTAAGGGTTTCCCAACTCATGGTGGGATTTTCCCAGCCAATACATCAATTCATAGAATACCCTTCAAAAACTGAAAGGGTAGAACACTACCCTCAGACTGTTTCTCCTACATTCCCCAGAACATGAGTCACTCGGACTTCCTGTTTCCACGAGACATTTCCTGTCCCCTCACAGAACTGCTTTTCTGTAGAACAGCGGGACCCTGACAAAGAGCTGACTTAAATAAACATCGTCTCGGGCTCTGTTGCGTTCAGAGTTGTTTGTGCTTTTCCAGCATCAAAGGACATGGTCCTTCTGGAAGTTGCCATCATATACAAGCAGATTCGTCTTGTTAAACCAACACAGCTTTTTTTTTTTATTTATTTCTCAAAATGATGTGGTGTATACCACGGTATGCGAGAGATCCCAAGGATACCAGGCGTCAGCGTGAGTCACCCCTCTTGTAGGCCTGCTTTTAATTTGGTATCAAGTGGTAATCGTACTACGTTCTCTGCAGCTGTGCATACATCGCAGCATCTGCGTGGACCACAGGGCTGCACGCCGCTTCTTGAACAGCATTTGCATGGATTCCGTTTCAGAACTCAACATCAGCAACTTCCACAAGGTTTAAGCACTGTGCAATGCTGCGTCAGACGTAAGGTAATGGTCAAAACGGAACTTCAGCTTGCGTCTCTGCTCAAAACCACCTGAATGGCTAAGGTTTTCAGTTGTGATCTACGCAATAACCTAGAGCTGCTGGCACGGTAGCCAGGTTTCTACTTAAAAAGAGAGAGAGAGAGAGAGAGAGAGAGAGAGAGAGAGAGAGAGAGAGAGAGAAAGGGGGCAGGGAGCAGACTACCTTCAACAGTGTTCAAGACTATGGTATGATACATTATGTACAGTTGTATGAAAAAAATGATTTCTATAATGTTAAAAACATCATCTCTAATAGAATGCTTCATTGATCAGGCTGTAGACTACATTCTGTGCTCACAGACCTCAGTAGATAAAACTAAAAACAACAATGAGTTCATCTTCACTAGAAGTAACTGTTGTATCAGGCTTTGAGATGGATTTAAAGCCTATTAATTTCCTGGATATTATATAGCATAATTTTAGTGTAACAGGCATTTTCTTACCAGTAAAGGTTCAATGAAACCTTGATACCCATACTCATTCAGAGATCAGTATAGAGTGATCTTTATAAAGAAAGAAAACATCATTTTACCTGATTTAGAATTCTTAAACACTAAAATTGGGAATATATGCTGATAGGTAATGATAAGCATTTAGCAAAATCTGCAACACATTTATGTTCAAATAATGACTTTAATTACAAATCCTGGAGCTAAATCTTTGCCTATTACCTGTTGCATATAAGCAGCCTGCTCCCCACATTCCATTTCCTGTATCTGAGCATCTTCATCGCTGTCCACTGGCTCCTCCTTGACCTTCACAGCCCCAACTTGTCCCAGTGTGTCCTCCACACAAGCACGGCTGCTCCCAGTGCTGTGCTCGCTAGAGGTCGCTCTGTCTTCCATGGCCTGGTCCCCCTGAAGCTCCTCCTCCGCTTCTTCAAGATGGCTGCCTGGTTGCTTCAGTTGTTCAATAGATTTCGAGAGCAGCTAGAAGAGAGTGTTCAGGGGTTCAGAAGTCAATAGTTCCTGATGCAACAGATTCAACTCATACTCTCATTTTTAATACCTCAACTTGAGCTAGAAAACGCTGGAAGCATTAAGGGAAGAAGGTGGATAAATCTTGTCCATGGAAGCCACAAGACTTTCATAAGGACGTAGTTCAAAAGTCTACTTAATATAAGTAAACTTGCGCTGGCCCTTTCTCAAGAAAGGCTGACGTTAGCATAGAAACCTCTCCAAACTCACATATAAGCAAATACTAACAGCTATAAAACCGCCAACCTAAATGGTAGTGGTTCTTTAGAACTAATGCTCTGGTGCCCATAGGATCGAATTACGATAGTATTTCAGAAATAGAATTGTAAAATACAGAAATACTCATTGTAGAATTCTGAAGTTTAAAAATATGAATGATCTTTACCATTTTGGAAGGGCATAATATATTTTTGATTGGACCCGAATGGAGTTAAATACGAAGTAAACAAGAAACTAGATTTAAAATAAAAAAATTATTCAGATGTCTTCCTTACTTGGCTGGGTCGATACCTACGTAACTGTTTTCCAGCCATCCTGATTAGCAGCATGCAGAGAATGTGACCACGGAAAACAAAACGACATTGATGGAGGTGGGTCTTGTATCTTATCTGTTGCTTTCATTGGTTAATAATAAAGAAACTGCCTCGGCCCTCATAGGACAGAAAATTAGGTAGGTGGAGTAAACAGAAGAGAATGCTGGGAAAAAGAAGCTGAGTAGAGGAGTCGCCATGATTCTCCCACTCCAGACAGACGCAGGTTAAGATCCTCCCTGGTAAGCCAGCTCGTGGGCTACACAGAATATTAGAAATGGGTTAGAACAATATGTAAGAGCTAACCAATAAGAAACTGGAACTAGCCGGGCCAGGCAGTGTTTGAAAGAATACAGTTTCCGTGTAATTATTTCTGGGCATAACCTAGCCATGCGGGCGGCCGGGTGCCGGGGACGCAGCCCTGCCGCTCCTAATTCAACACTACATTTTTTTTTTTGCATAGAATTTTAGTTTAACTCATGTTCACATATAACAGGGTTCAAAAATCTAAGCACATTTTAATGTTTGAATTAAAAGTGTACTCAAACTTTGAAGGGCAAGCTCTTTAGATGTCATGTGATCCATCCATCGCAAGCAGCCCTGAACATGCTGGTACATCCCTTAAATTTAACTGCAGGGATGCATATTGGAAGTTTTCATCATTTTTTTTAACAATTATTCATTTAGTGGCAGTTAGGCTCCAGCCACTGCTAATGGCTGGGAAATGGGCACACCTTTCTGCCCTTGTTTCAGTGCGTTATAAAGAAGTAAGACCACTGCATTTTGATCTCATGTGTCAGAGATTTTATTTTATGTCTAACGAGGACTTTAAAGAATAAACTCTGGTTGTTATCGTAGCACCCTGCGTGTACAGGTGGGCACAGGAGTGAAGAGAGATGGCAGAAGTCATTGCTGGGAAGGTGTTCTGTTTGGGATGAAGGCGGAAAAGGCGGCAGATAGACTGAAAGTATTTCATGAAAAGTGTCGCGGCTCATACCATATTTTGGTGGAGAACAAGAATATACAGAAATGAACCGTAATAGGATAAGACGCAAATATCTCCAAGCCCAGCAGAGATGATCAAGCAAAGAAAACGCATACCAATTAAAATCCATATCAAAAGGGAGAAAGACAATTTCAATATGCATTTCCTTCGTGCTGACAACTTAATTTCTATTATTCCTGAGCAGTCAGCATAAGGAGAAATACCTCCCATCATCCTTAAAGCATCTTTAAGTGCAGGCTAGAAGACTATTTTCTGTATAATTGTCCTAGTTCTGAGCAGTAATCAGCAGTTCCTGTCTCAAACACGTAATTGTTTGCACACGGCTTGAGAGCCCAAGGAGCAGACACTACACTCCTTTTGAATTCTGGCTGTGTAACTGTAGGGCACCTCGTCCTGCAGGTTTGGGGAGAAAGAACACCCAGGACCATAAAAAAAATGAGAAAAAAAATAGTAAAATAAAAGTCTTATTTTTGGCGAAAACAGCAGAGTTGAGAAAAACATTCTTCAGAGAAACGACAGCAGGCAGGTCTGTTTCAACTCTGTCCAGCTCTCACCCTCGACTGGATAGCCATAGGATATTAGCGCAGTTTTATGGGGAGAAAGAAAGGATTTGAGAAGAGGGCAAGAAAGCGCAAGAGCCTTCAAGGAAAATATTTACAAGAAGACTGACATTTCTTCCTGAACAGAAGTTCAATGAACCATGGGAAACCTCCTCTTGATACCACAGCTTAGCTGGCAGAATGAATGGGACAGGCTGGCGCGTCAGAAAATGCTGAAAAGGAGGCCCAAAGACACAGGTGTTCAAACAACATTGCCAGAAACAGCTTCACGAGGATAGCAGATGAAAGGAACAACGCCACATGGGGTGTGTGGCAAGGGAATTGTAAGAGACTGGCCGGACAGTCCAACGCACAGGAGATGCGTGGTGGCAAAGGTCCCCACTTGCCGGGGGCGGGGGCAGTTCTGAGCAGCTTCTGGATCCATCCCTTCTCATGGGTCCTTCGCGGAATGTTCTTAGGGAAGCAACGTGTCCTCTAAGCCATTCTCCCACCGCTATCATTTGCCTCAGCTGCTTGCTTCCTCCACTGCAGGACCAAGTTCAGCGTGCACTGTTTTCAGCGCCCGTGCCTTCTGCAGTATGTGTTGTAATGCGCCTGTGCGATAGCGCAATTGCGCGGCTTTTCCTTCTGCTCGTAAACGACACCCCACTGCATTCCTCTGTCCCCCCTGTTAATTCGCTCCACCCTTGTCCCTGGCTCCCCAGACTGCCTTTCTTCTCAAATCTTTCCTTGCTGGTACTTTTGCTTGTTATTTCACTCAAAACATACAAGCACCCAAAGGACAACTCCAGACACTTTACCGGGGCAGGGACAACAGTGTCCTTGCTATTACAATTAACAGGACCTTTGTCCCCTACCCCAGTCACGCCTTTGGCTTATGTCCTGGGCCCAGTGGCTACTGCTAACTTTCTCTCTAACTTCACGTCTTTTCTGGGCTTGTCTCGCCTGCATGTTTGCAGTAACTTACTCATCTGAAAGAAGACATCTTCCACCGTTACACGTCTGCCTTCATAGCAGAACCTGAATTCCCTCTTCATCTTTGCCTCTCCTCATTTGCTCACTTTAAAAGCTATGTCAATTACGTTTTCATTCACACAATTTGACTCATAGCTTTCTTCTTGAGCTTAATAATAACAGCACAGAGGCAAATTCAGGTGGGCATTGTAAGAAGTCTATTTTATTTTTGTTTATGATGTATGTGCTTATCATTATGTGTTGTGGACTATTAGTTGAAAATGTGCTACATTTGTTTGTGCTGTGGAACATTGGTTTAATGCTGCAAAGAGGTGCTGCATTCTTTTGTGCTGCATTTGTTTAACTCTGTGAAGCTGTGTTACATTGCCTGTCTAAAACACCTGATTGGTCTGATAAAGAGCGGAATGGCCAATAGTGGGGCAGGAGAGAGAAGTAGGCATGGCTGGCAGGCAGAGAGAATAAATAGGAAGAGAAGAGATCAGAGAGGACAAAGGGAGAAGGAGAGCGGACACCAGGGGTCAGCCACACAGCTACACAGCAAACCATGGTGCAAGAAGTAAAGGGCGGTGTACAGACTAGGGAAATATAAAAGCCCAGAGAGAAACAAGACAAGCTAAGATTATTATTATGTGTAATAATAATCTCCTTGTGGTTATTTGGGAGCTGGGTGTGGGAAACAACTACAATGATGAGGATGCCATGTGCGTGGGTGACAGTGGAGGGCCCTGGGTTGGATCCCTTGGAGGTGGAGTTACAGATGTATGTGAAGTGGCCAACAATACAGGTGTTGCAAACTAAACACGGGTACTGGGAGCTGAACTGGAGTTCTCTGGAAGAAGAGCATTGAGTCATTTCTCTACGGCCTGCCCTCACCCTTACCCTTCATGGCCATTTAAATGGGAGACTGACAGGTGTCAGGGAAGGTCGAGCAATAAAGTCAAACAAGATGCAAATAATAGCACTTTGTAAAGAGAGAGGCTATGCTCACTCGTGCTGGCAAATGCCATTCCTTACCAGAACAGAAATTCTCACCAACGGTGAAAAGCTGAGCTATGACCTGAGTGTTCATGGAACATATATGTACTTTCAACAGAAATCTTTCTGAAATTTGACCTCCTAATGTGTTTATAAGATCCTGGAAACTCCCAGAGACCACCTCATCAAGTTCATGAACTCAACTGACTTCGCATTTGCAAATTCACTGACATAGATACATACGCGGCATTGCAGACAACACTTTTTAGTGTGCAATTGCGGAACAATGCTGCCTCCAGTGAGTTCCCTGACCTCACCTCTACGACCGGGGTACTGGCAGGAAGGGAAGGATAAAGACATTCAGAAAAAATGATGTTGCCATCACTTGGTCAAAAAGCCACACGGCAAATACTTTCTTTCCAAGAACAGAATTCCACTAGGGTTTGTAAAAGGAATGGTTCCTGACAGAACAGTGGTTTATGAGTTGAAATTATATGTGCATGTGTGTGTGCACACATGCATGTGTATGTGTGTGCGGTGTGTGTGTGTGTGTGTATGAACGTTGGAGTTGCAAAATGTCTTATAACATCCTAAACTCTTATTTTATGAAGAAGGAATCTCTATTCAAAAGAAACCGTGCCATCCCCATGAACACGAAAGTGGAACCTGTGACTGAAAAGGAGCGCATTTCATAATCTCCCTTTCTACCTTCTCTTCTAAGAGAGCAGCCCCGTTGTGATGGGCGACTGAGCAAGGTGAGCAATTCCAGTTGCTCCAATGCTCTCTAAACACCCATCTAACACCTTCCCCAAACCACTGAGCTAGGAAATATCTAGAAGGTATCATAAACTTCCCAACAGCACCAAGATAATCTCTACTCCATCCACCCATTCACCCACGTCTTCT